TCTGGGAGATAGGGGGAGGAGAGTAAGTGAGCATTTGTAGACCTTATTAATATGTCAGCCAGTATCTGTTACATTATTAGCATTACTGGGTTTGGGGACAAAGTTGGGGAGGAAGGCAAGTTGTGAAGTAAAAATTAGAAGGAATAAATACTGACAGTTATAAATCTAATTAAGTCTCTCGTTTCATCCATGAAACCTATCAAGTTGTCATCTTTTTCTGATTCTCTCTTTGCTGTTTTTCCTTTGTACCATTTCATCCATTCATTTAGTTAGAGAAGGACGTGCTGTCTTGAAGTGTTAGTTTTTTTGTTATGTGCCAGAACTATGCCATTTGTACATTTAAAGACTTGGGAAAAGGAGATCTCATGTAAGAATGTGTTCATCATAGCTAGAGTGGGCACTTCACACAAAGAGCTCAGTAAGTGTTGTTTTATTCTTTAAACTTTACTGAATTTGGTACCAAACAGGCACTTAGTAGCAAGCAGATGAGTACAAGATAGAAGAAATTACAACAAAAAGTGTTTTGTGTATACATGGCATCTTTAAATAGTAAGACATACTTACTAATAGATAATTGAAATAAGTCTTAGGGAAAAATGTCATTTTGTACTCTGAACTTGAATTAGATTCTGGTTTTAAAAGTTCACTAGGTCTCTTTATTTATGTTCAAACTTGCAAGAATAAAAATTACCTTTGAGACTGTAACAGAACCACTTGGGGGCAATTAGTGGGGTGCATAGAACTTGGGGGACTCGGACCATAATAAGAGCAGAGAGTTTAGAGGTTTAGGTGGGTAACACATTTGGGTTTGATTACTGGGTTTTGGAGTCAGTCACACTGATATTTCTATACCGAAATTCAGGCTTTGAGGTAGCCACGGGGATGCTTTAAGGGGAATGGATGACATGACTAAACTCAAACGACAGGGAACAACAGGGTTTTGTTTTTAAGTTTGATATATTTTAACTGGGTGGTGGTGATGTGCACCTTTAATGTCAGTACTGGGGAGGCATGGCAGGTGGGTCTTTGAGTTTGAGGTTAGCCTGGTCTACAGAGTGAGTTCCAGGAAAAACAAAAATAACAAAAATGATGTATTTTGCAGACAGTGTTTTTAAATTCTATTACGGTTTTTAAAAATCTGGTAAGCTAGTCTTTTTAGCTATTTAGCCATTTATTGACACCTGCTTTTATCAATAACGCAGTTTAATATTTGTGAAACACAACACCAAGAAAATGATTTTCTTTTATCAAGAGTTCCCAGACTAAGGAACTCAGCTGGTAGAGTGCCTCCTAGTTTCAGGTTAGGTTCCAAAGCTGCAGAGAAATCCTGTCTAGAAAAACCAAAAGAACAAAATGATCAGTTTGCATGCATGTGTAAGTAAAACTGCATTTTGTTTTGTTTTGTTTTTGTTTGCTTGTTTGTTTGTTTGTTTTTCGAGACAGGGTTTCTCTGTGTATCTTTGGCTGTCCTGGAACTAGCTCTGTAGACCAGGCTGGCCTCGAAATTACAGAGATCTGCCTGCATCTGCCTCCCTGAGTGCTGGTATTAAAGGCATTACCACCATGCCTGGTTTAAAACTGCGTACTTGTAAAGACTTTGGTTTGTGAATAGCTGCTTATTGAAGAGTTTATGGGTCTGTCTTTACTCTCTTCTAAAGAGTTCCTGTTGCTTTCTTTTTTCTGTTTTTTTTTTCGTTTTTGTTGTTGTTGTTGTTTATTTGTTTTTTTGTTTTTTGAGACAGGGTCTCTGTTTATTCCTGTCTGTCTTGGAACTCACAGAGATCTGCCTGCCTCTTCTTCCCCAAATCTGGGATTAAAGACCACACACCCTGTGAGTTCCTGTTTCATATTGCTGCATTATCATGGTTTTTTTCCTTCAATTTATAAGCTGAAAAATGTTTGGATTGCCTTTTCAACCCTGTGAAACTGGAGCAATCCCACAGCTGCTTTCTGTCTCCTACTCTGTTCGTTGTGTGCCCAGCCTGAATATGTGCGTGTATTTCAGTGAGCCTCAGAAGTGAGGTGTGATTTTTACCATTCTGTGCTGTCTTCAAATAGCCCCTTGTTCTGTAGCCTAATAGAATTATCAGCTAAGTAATAATTTGCTTGTTGGCTTGTGATTTCACAGTTCTTCATTCCAGGAATTCATGATCGCTTCCATTTCTTTATTTTGTCATTCTGTTTGAAACCCCTGGTTCAAAGAACTTAAGTATTGTGCTCACAATCCCTAACAGCCACATGTCTTCTAGTTTACACTGTTAGTCTGTAAGGTGGTCTTAGTCTTTGGTACCATAGGTTTGCAGTTTTTTTTGCAAATATAGTCATGCTGTCTGTTGTTTTGGGGGCACAAGCCTGAGCCTTGGTGGCCCTAACAGCTAGGCCCAGTCTCCTGTCCACAGCACACCAGCTAACAGAAGTAGCAGTGAAAAGCCCAGAAAGGAAAGTTGGTTGTTATCCTCATACTAAGAGGAGGATCTGAGAGAGTATGACTTGCAGGTTCATCGTTGGGGTTCTTAGCAGTTTCGGTTTGAACAGAGAACAAGAGCATAACGGCATGACAAGGCAGTCATGGTCATGGTGTACTCCTGCCCGGCATTGGCCTGTCCTTGCCAGGGCAGAGTCTGAGGTGCACTGGCCTTTTGTCAAAATTGTGTGAAACCCTTTCCCAGGAAACCATCTTCCCCCTGCTGCCTCCCTCCTCCCCGCTCCCAGCTGGCTTGCGCTTTGGCTGTCCCCTTCCCTAGCATGAGATTCCTGGGGAAATAGCAATTTCTTGGGACCAGTGTTTGAATGGTCTCATGGGCAGTGAGAGGTACCTTGTTCTTGTCAGAACACTTAAATCATTAGCACCTTTTGTTTACTTGGATGATTTTCAGAGACTTTTGCTGTATTTTACAACATAATTTCAGAAAATTTGTTTTCATTTTAAGGAGAAATTTAAAAGGTTATGGTGAAGAGGGAGTTGACTGAGCATCCTCAGTCTGATGAGAATGGAGTGTGTGTTAAAGACAAGCAATTCTGGAACCAAGATTTGAAGACAGGACAACAGTGTTGACATAATATATCTCCTGGTCTCTGTTTTTCTGATTATTATGTAGTAAACATTATTTCTTGGGTAAAACTATATACATTTTCATAGTTACATATTTGGTAATGATTTGTTGAAAAGGCTAGGAAGAAAGTGGCTACTAGTCTGTAAAAATGTTGCGCTTAGGAAGGGGAAACAAATGTTGAACATGAAAACATTGTTTTCATCATTTGATTTAGTTTTCTCTTGATATGATCAGTTTTTAGAATTTTATACTGTTTTATTAAAAAAGACATCAAGATGTAAATGTAGACATAAGTTCCCGATGTTGTATTGACTTGTTGGAACCTAACCTCTCTTTGTGTTGTAACCTCAGTTAGTTCCTTAGTGTGACAATGAAGTTGGAGTTACTGACCTCCACTGTACACTGTTAGGTCTTACAAACATCCCTGTCCAAGACCTCATTCATCTCTTTTTTCCCTCTGGTTCAGTGAAGTTTCTAAGCTTCATATGCTCTGTTTTTGTTTCTCAGCAGCCTATTAGTTCTTTAGCACTCTGCATAGTTTGCACATATGCACAGCCACTCTATGTAGGTCAACAAAAGATGGAAATACAGTTTCGGGGTAGGTGGTCACAAAAGACTTTTATTTAAGCATGACAAACAGAAAGTAGGGAGGTTTTATTCAGTGTGCACACCCTGGGTAGAAAGATGTACAGAGGTCCAAACCTAAGCCTCGTGTTTTGAGCACTGCCCAGAACTTTAGAGTTAGAAGAATCCATGTAGGGCAAAGAGGAAATTAAAGATCAGCAGTTCTGTCGTGGTACAATTCTCCCATCATTGTCTTAGCTCTACTTGGTCTTGAAGAAGTTTCTTGCTTACAGGGATGGGGTGGTTATGAGGATAGGATTGCTTCAGCTCCAGGGGACTCTGTCCTCTGAGGATATGCTGTCCTGGGCATCCACGGTGACATAGAAGAAAGGCTAAGGACAATGATTTATCTATGCCATCGACCATTCAGAAGATGAGACAGATTACACAGATACTCCAAAAGTAAAGGCGACAAACAAGATCAAAGTAGAACCAGGCTTTTATCCTGAATTTAGTCACTTCGAAGCCAAAGTGAGGAGTTGGCACTTTTTGGCATAGGTGGTTTCAAAGTGCCTGCTGCAGTCCTCCCTTGTGTATGGATACCCTCAGTCTTGAGATAACGAGGACATCAGCTAGTCTAATCTGTCTGGTTGCCTGGGCGAATGATAAGCAGTATGTATGAAAGGGCAGACCCTAATGACAGAACACATAGGTAAACAACAGGGTGTTTGTGTCTGAAAATAGGAGTCATTTCTATTGGGAGCCACACTTGTTACAAGCATGAGTATGAATTCTAGTGAACAGAATTTAGTGTCAGGTAACCATGCATAAGGTCCATTTCTCTATAACTTCCTGGCTTAGTTACACTTACAAGGGTTAACCCAAGTGACTTTGGTTTTGTTACTGATTTTAAGACAAGGTTTTGCTGTGTGGCCTGGTGTGCCTCAACCTCATGATTCTTTCCCTTTAGCCTCCCAAGTGTTGGAACTACAGGCATGTGTTACTGTACCATTTCAGTTCTTATACCCACCCCCACACCCCTTGTCTCTGAACAATTTTTCTCTAACATTGTGGACTCTAACAGAGTGGACTTTGTCCTGGTTGGTTTGATTTGGTTCCCGTGTGTAGGGAGAAGGGACAGGTGACAAGGAGTTAGTAGCAGTAAACCTTTTTGCCTAAATTCAAACAACTTAAGAAGTATAGAATGAGTAGGCAGAGCCTACTTGGAACCCATCCTCAAGTTTTAATTCTGTCTGCCCTGTGGGTGATGTCCCGAGCATCCCCCAAAATACCCCTCAGGTTATTTTGTTAGAAGCTGTACTTCTGCACAATGCACATTGGACTTTATGCATTTCTAAAATCAGCTTTGTTTTTTTTAAACAGATAAGTGTAAAGCAGGAAATTACTTTTACTGATGTATCTGAGCAACTGATGAGAGACAAAAAACAAGTCAGAGAGCCAGTAGACTTACAGAAAAAGAAGAAGCGGAAACAACGCTCTCCTGCAAAAGTAAGAGAATGTGTTAAGGTCTGGTCACTAACCTTTTAATTTTAAACTGTTGGATTATCTTGCGGGCAGGAACCTATTTGGACTTTAAGCCAGATGCAGAAGTCTTAACATGGTTTAGTACAGTTGGTGTGCTATACCAGCTTCTGCAGGAGGGATAGAGAAGAGAGATACGTACCTGTGGAGATGTGGTGGGCCGTGATTTTTAATTTCTCTCTTTCTCCCACCCGTATCCCTTTTTTCTGAAAGTGAACTTCTGTGTTTCCATATGTCCCTTGTATTTAAAAACCTACATGATATATAGGTTCTTACTTGTTGTTCATAATTAATACAAGTGTTAATGTTTTGTGAAAGTTTACTCTGATTATTCATCATAGATACCTTTAATAGAATGTACGCTCCCTGAGGGCAGAGACCTATTTTATCACAGCTGTATCAAAGGGTCTGAAGGGAGGCTAAATGAACCCTTAATATTTTGTGGCTCAAGGAATGGGTTGGTAATAAATACTTTTAGGAGTTGGTCTGCTTTTATGTTTTTTACTCTTGCAGTGGCAATGTCTTGATGTTCCCTAGTATGTAGCATTGACCATTCATCTTCAGTTACTTCTCCCATGCTTTTACCCTATATAGTAAAGAAGCTACTCCTCCATCCCCTTTTTAAAAACAAGATCTTATATATCCAAAGCTAGCATTGAACTTAATTTATGGCCAAGAATGACTTTGTGTTTCTGATTCTCCTGCCTCTACTTCTTAAGTGCTAGGATTACATAGGAGTGTGTCACCATGCATAGTGTTAGTCAGTGCTGGGTACTGAACCCAGGGTTTGATGCATGCTGCACAAGTGCTTTGCATCCTGAGCTACATCATTAGTTCCCCATTTAAATATCATATATTATAATATGTTTTTTTTTTTCAAGCAGGGTCTCAGTATGACCTGGACTAAGCTGGCTTTGAACTTGGAATCTTCCTACCTCTACCTACTGATTGCTAGCATGAATTACAATGCTGATTCAGTAGCAGGGTGGCTACTTACTGTAATTTTTATTTAAATTTTTATTAAAAGTCATAATCATTATCATGTACAATTATATGCTGTAATGGGCTAGAGCAACCAGTACTGGGTTGCAAGAGCAGATTGCTAAAGTTTAGCAGTTTTGTGAGTCAGTTGATAATGGCATTGTTAGCTATTAGCATTAACCATTGTGGGGTTGTTTACACTGTGGAGATGGGAACTGCTCCTCTCATTTCCCGTTGTTAGCGCACCTCTTGCTGCTGTTTTAGGGATATAGAACATATGCCTAGTGTATCAAAGTTTAAAAATTACAGTATAAAATCATTGAGTTCTATTTCTTTTTTTTAAAAAAAAGATTTTATTTATTTAGTATACAGTGTTCAGTTTGTGTTTATGCCTGCACACCAGAAGAGGGTACCAGATCTCATTACAGATGATTGTGAAATTGAACTCAGGACCTCTGGAAGATCAGTCAGTGCTCCTAACCTCTGAGTCATCTCTCCAGCCCCTAAAGTTATATTTCTAACAGATTTTGACTCTCTGCCATATTTCTGTTTTCAAAATTTAGTGAATTTGTATAAATGTAATTTTCTGATTTTTCAACTGTACAGTCTGTTTAATCTATTTTTGTACTAAAAGTTAACAACAGTAGTCTTTTGTTTTTATAGTGCTAGGGATCACACACACACACACACACACACACACACACACACACACACACACGTCCTTCTTATCCTGGGCAAGAATTATACCATTGAGCTATATTCTCAGCTCCGTAAAGTTTTGTAAACATTTTTCTTAGCTATGTACTGTCTTACTTTGACCAGCTCATGTTATAATTAACGATTGTTTCCTTGAGCATTGCTGTGTTGTTGTATTCTTTTCATCTCCATTTTGAGCCAATGCTGTACATTTACCATTGTGTTATAGAATCAGAGGGTATACGCTTGATTTCCATCACTGTTCAAGTTATATCTCCATGGGGTGGATGTGGCTGGTGCTCCCTGCACTCCCGAGAGCACGGGGCGGGGTCAGACTTGACCTCTGTAGCTTACCATGAAGTCACTCTGTGTTGGAATCATATTTCTTTGTTTTGGGTCACACTGAATTCATATTTCTTATTTGTTTGACATGTCATATTTCATTTTATGGAATCCTTTTTCTCCCCGATCCCCTTTCTTGTTTTTCTCAGTGATTGTAATTTGTTTTTATTGTTACTGTTCTTTACATCAATAAATCAAATTCCTCAGAGTAATTTCAGGGTTTGTGAAAAGTTAACTTTTAAAACTGCAATAATAGTTGATTGTTCTACTTTGTGCTCACTTGTTTACATATGGGGACTCTGTTTTGAGAATTTAAGATTTATCTATTTTTTATTGTATACATATGAGTGTTTTGCTTGCATGTATATCTATACATCACATGAATGCCTGGTGCCTGCAGAGGCTTTAGAGCTGCTGTGGACCTGTAGTTACAGGTGATTGTGTCCACCATGTGAGCATTAAGAACTGAATCTGGGTCCTCTGGAAGATTTTAAATTGTATATGTGCTAAGCTGTATATTTTCCTAGATATTTTATTACCATGTTTTTCTGGTGCTAGTCTGTAGTTTAATTCTTTTCTTTTTTTAAGGATTTACTTTCATTGTTTTAATTTTATAAAATTTTTATGTTTTATTTATAGGAGTATTTTGCCTCAGTGTATGTATATGCATTACATACATGCCTGGTATCTGTATTGGATCTTCCCCTGGGACTGGAGTTATGGATGGTTGTGAGCCGTGTGGGTGCTGGGAACCAAACCCAGGTCCTTTGCAAGAGCAACAAGTGTTGTGAACTACTGAACCATCTCTCCAGCCTGTTGCTGCTGTTGTTGTTGTTATTGTTATTATTATTGTTGTGGTTTTTTTGTTGAGGGTTTTCTGTAACAAACTTGGCTGTCCTGAAACTTACTTTCTAGTTCAGACGGGCCTCAAACTCGGAGATCCACCTGCCTCTGCCTCCCAAGTGCTGGCGTGTACTATCACACTTGGCAGTTATATTTTGATTGTGTGTGTATGTGTGCGTGCGCTTATGAATGCTGTTACTCTTGGAGGACAGAAAAGGATATTAGATTTTTTTTATTAAAGATATTTTATGTATATGAGTACTCCATCTACATATGTGACTGTATGCCAGAAAGAGGACATCAGATCCCACTATAGATGGTTAGTTGTGAGCCACCATGTGGTTGCTGGGAATTAAACTCAGGACCCCTGGAAGAACAGCTAAGTGCTCTTAACCTCTAAGCCATCTCCCCAGCACCAAAGGTTATTAGATTTCCTGCCACTGGAGTTACAGGTAGTTGTGAGCTGCCTGCTTGTTACATATAGTGGGCAAAAAAAGTGTGGCTAATTGATTTGCAGTGTCCCAGATGAGTGGTTGCTTTGTAGGCTGCCTGCTCACAACTGGGAGTCAAACCCAGGCCCTCTGCAAGAATGGTGCAAGTTCTTAACCACTTAACCCTTCAGCAGTCCCAGGTGAATGCCTTCTGAGATTCTCACTGAAGTCCACATTATTACTATCCAGTAGAGGATTACCCAGAACCTTTTGTGATGTGCTGTCTAGGCCTTTGGTGGGTGTGAAGAGGATGCTGAGGTTCACACCCAGTGCCTAATCTGTGGTAGACAGGTGCTTTACTTCTGAGTTATATTCGCATGAGTTATATGAGGCATTTCTCAAAACACATTGTGTATGCAGAGTTTTGTTTGTCTAAGTCAGTTTTTTGACAATTTCTAAAAGCACCACCAAGGTATTTTGTCCTGATCAGTGTTGTAGCCAGATGAGAGACAACCTGTTCTAAGTGCAGTATACACAGGACAGCATTTCAGGACAGTCCTTTTAGGGAGATCTTAGAACAGTGAAGTACTGTAAATAGTACAGAGCAGACATAAGTGAGAATAACAAAAATAGTTACTTTAAAATTGTTTACGGCAGCCGAGCGGTGGTGGCGCACACATTTAATTCCATCACTCATGACATAGAGACAGGCAGATCTCTGTGAGTTCGAGACAGCCAGGGATACACACACACAAAAACATCCTGTTTCAAAAAAATTGTTAACAGCAGGAAGTGGTTGCATATGCTTCTAATCCTAGCACTTGGGAGGCAGAGACAGGAGGATCTCTGTATGTTCAAGGCAGCTTGGTCTACAGAGTGAGTTCCAGGATAGCTAGAACTGTGTAGAGACCCTGTCTTAAAAAAGGACAAAAACCAAAAAAAAAAAAAAATGTTCTTATATGTTACATGTAGTAGACAGAACAGTGTGGCTACTTTTAACATTGATCTGCAGTTTTCTAGATGAGTGATTTCTTTGTGTCTGAAGTGTTAGAACTTTGAAGTGTAAACCTAGTTGTTTCCAATCTCTTCCAAAGTGTGTTAGTGCCATAGTTCAGATATTTTATATAAGTAACTTATTCTACCATTTTCACATGAAGCCAGACAAGTTTATCTTGAGTTTATAGTTTATAAATCAATGCATTGATTGAAGTTTTTTTTTTACAATTTTTAAATTTCTTAAAGTTCAAGATGTTGTGTATGCTAAGAAAGTGTTTATGACTTTGGGGAAAGTTGTCAGAGGGTGAATGTTTAGAAATAATACGTAGTAGATGGTGTGAGAACTAGAATTTATTATCTTTAGAGGGCTAGTCTCCTTCATAACTTTTTCCAAACCTTGGTCTGCCCGTCACCAGTGTCTGTAGCATATGCTGTCATTGTGTCAGATGGGATCTGGTGAACATATCAGAGCTCTCGTCAGGTTAGCTGTGCTGGCTGGCACATTGCTCCGCCATCATCAGCTGCTGCAGACAGCAAGCAGTAGTTACGCTGGGAACCTTTGTCATCTTAAAGTAGATGAAATGCTTTGTAACTGGGTTGAGGACTAGTATCTAGGTTAAGGGATTTTCTCCATTGTGAAATAATCTGTTTATGAAAATAGAGGAAACTGTAGTCACT